ACAAGCCAGGCGGTGGGTGTCTGGAGGAAGTGGGTAAAGTATTTCGACCAGAGGCTCCGGATCTCCCGCTGCTGCCAGACAGGCCGATCTCTCGAGCCCGCTGGGGGAGAGGAATGTATTTACCTTCCCTAGAAAACCAACACAAAGAAAATAAGTTGTGAGAGGAGCTCTGAGAATCAAAAGGGTTAAAGAAAATTGAAGGAGCATCAAATCTTTTACTGAAAACATTTGACACTTTTACCTTAAAATGAAACCCAAACTAAACAAGACCAAAGCGCACACGTCAAGTATTCTTACCTGCCACTGGAGGTGAATCCAGGGCTGGCCCGGTCTTCCCTCTCTCGCAACACAGAGCTGTATTTGTCCTCCTCGCTCCGGCCTTCGTCGTTCTCCAAAGAAACCCGCCGGCGGTACTGCACGCTGCCCTCGATCTCATTCGCCAGCCGAGCTGCCCGCGCTTCCCGCTGTCTGTAAACCTCAGAGTTTCCCTTCTCTAATGGCATGCTGGGAGATCACACAGGTGACACAAATAAGAGAGCAAAATAATTCACCACATCATCAGGAGCAGTGATGATTTTGTAATTGTCTGATTCAAATAATATTTATATTGCGGTATTAAAAATGATCTTTCTATGCGTAAACGTAAAACTTATTGACTGCAGGCTGCAGGGAGACTCACGTGTACATAGAGAGGCTGGAGTCATACGTGGACTTGACACCATATGCCTCCTCGTTAAACTTGAACATCTCGTTGGCGTCCCAGCCGTTTGACTGGGGGGGGAAAATGCAACAAAAACATGACATAAATAAGACAATAGAAGCTGCTGCCCCCCTCTTTGTTTCTGCTTCTATTGTGATCATATTTATACTGGACCCAGTTAAGGATGCAGCAGTAACTGCATCGTGGAAACACACTTCATTCTTGTATTAGCAGGTCAAAGACTGCTGGTAAGAAACTCGGCTATTAGACCTTCAACAGGCCATTTTCTGTGAGTCTTAGAAGTGATTTTAAGAATTTACTGCTGTTGTAAATGTGTTGCCTCACCGCGTCTGACTCCAGCTCAAAGTTTTCGCCGTTTCCATTGCCATCCCACCTCTGCAGAACCTTCTCCTGGTGTTCCCCGTTCACCCGGGACGAGCTGATGGCCGTGTCGGTGAATGTGTCTGAATGCGCGCACACACACACACAAATTTGGTGAAGACATAAATAATACAGGCCTATTAGACACAGATGTTTAATTATGGATACTGAAAGGTGTGATTTTATGTTTTTAAACTTGTCTTTACCCACTTCCAGTTTATACTTCCCAGCACAAAGATTTAAAAAAAAAAAAATTCTCTGTGCGTCTGTGTACCTCTGACAGCAAAGCTCAAGTCGACATCCCGGCAGGTCATGGTCACCAGGTCGGCAGGGCTGAAGATCATGGTGTCAGTGATGTCCTCAATCTTAGGTTGAGATGCCTGGTTAACTTCTCCTCCTCCTCCTTCCTCACCTCCTCCTCCTCCTCCTCCTCCATCTCCCTCACTCCGTTTATGAACAGCATCTACAGCCAGCTCACACTGATAATGGATGAAAAAGTACTCACAAATCAATCACAAGATATTGACCATAATCACACTGCAATCAATTTCTTCAGATGTCACAATCAGGGTGGGAAGCTCTCATGCTGTCATAATGTGTGTTTTACGATGTGATGCTGTGTTTTAGGTTTTTAATAGCGTACAAACAGGAATCTGACAAATTGGTATCAATTCAATGCATCCCCATTGATAAGCAATTTAAAAACAACAACAGATAAACATGAGCCAGAAGGACGTTGGGCAACATAAACAACACATTTTATCAATTTATGCACTGTATTTTTTTGGTGCTAGTATTTAGATTAATACTTTTTCTATGATTCACTAACCTGGAATGATCAGAATAATACACCCTAACGGTAAAGTCATTAAAAATTGGTTGACGTGTGAATGCAGTGAAATGCATCAGCCACCAGCCTTTGTGCAGCCTTTAGTAACCACGTCGATTTTAAAAAGTTGAGGTTCAGTGACAGTCTGGTGCACTATAATAAATCTTTGTACCTGTGAGCTCAACGTCTTGAAGATTCCCTCATACACTGTGCCACTTTTCACTCTCACATCACAGGTGGAGCCCTGAAACCAGCAATGATGGGGAGAACTTGAGGCTGTTTCCTTCAAAATATCATTCGAGTCTCAATATTTTTACAAGTTGTAACAGCACAGTACTTACCACAACTGCAGTGAGAAAATGAAGCATTCTGGCGTTGTTGTATACGCCTTCAAATAGCTGCAGGCACAGATCACATGTGTGAACAAACTACATCCCATGCTCAGGGTCAAAACCTCTAAAAAACAGAAATCCCTGTTTTCTGTCCTTAAACCCAGCAGAATATGAATACATGCATATTAGCAAACATTAATTAATATAGTATAACACTATTTTAAAGTATATATTTCAGTTATGAGATGATCTGGGACTTCTACCACCTCTGATCATTACTGTTTGGGAGTGATGACAGCTACATGGCCTGTCTTAAAAGGCCACCCCTTTGTTTACATTTGGATGTTTTCCTTAATGACACTCACATCTTGTTTCTTGTTACACAACCGAATTTATAACAGGAAGCTCTGATCCTTTTAATGCTTTCACACACACACACAAATCACTGACATTACAGAAAGATCCAGGTATGCATAGAAAACACTTTGCTGTGATTAATAATGCACAAAGCTGCTCATCATAACATCCGTGATAAAAAAAGACAAGGAGCTGTAACAACTTACTAAGCTGCTTACAGGACATGACGGACTCTGTGATGGTGGTTTCATTGTGCTCCTGGTCCTGCAGAGGTTAAAAAAAAAACAAATAATAACGTCAGCTAACAGCTAAAGGTATCAAGTGCTCCCTCAGTGAGAACAATAAACACAACAGGCATCACGGCAACCTTCACTAAAAAGCGAAGGGACTAAAAGGTTGACATCGCATCATTTAAAAACTCGTAAAAAAAATGCGCTGTATTCTAAAATATCTCACTTGAAGATTAAGTAAAAAAATCGGTATATTGTTGTATAACGAATACATAAAAATCAGATAGCTTAGTGCGCTAATGTAGCTAGCTTAGCGCAGACGTCGATTTTTTTTTTTTTTTTTTTTTGCAACAGACACGAACGAACCGCGAGAACTGATGTTGACACGGCGTCAGAAACTGACAGGTGAAGACGTCTTAGTATGTAAATAATACTTTTTAGTCATGTGCATCCCTGTTATTCCCCGTCTCTCGTCGCTCCCAGTCAAAAGTCACACGGTTTGACAGGCCAAACACGATACACCGCTGAAAAACAACAAAACACGGCGAGGGGTGCGTTTGATTCGGCAAAGCCCGGCAACCGCTGCGCATGTGACACGGGTGTGGGGCGGTTCTATGCGACACAAATATTCAACTAAGACGACAAATACTGTTTATTCGAAGTGGAAGTAATTAATGATGAATTAACTTGCAAATTGTTTTTTTTTATTATTTTTTTTTATCGCTTAACACAGTGCGTCGAAAAATACCGGGCTGCAAGGATGATATAGAACGAACGCATCAGTCGTAAGCCCCGCCTAACGGTTTGATGTGCTCGTTGATTGGATAAACCCCGTGTCGATCATTTTTGACCTATCACGTCACTGGTTGAAGTCCCGTCAGTCATTTTTCCTCAGGAGCTGATTCTGAAAGGCGATGTGGATGAAGGTCATGTGAGGAAACCTTCAAAGTAAAATTTAACAGTAGCACATACCGGTATTCACCTTTATCCCCCACAATAACAATACAATTATAATTTAATAGTCTTATGTCAACATTAAAACTAAAAATAAACACAAGTATATATTTAAATTTGTGTACACACATTTGTAACACAAAGCTCTCAATGAGACCTTGGATGACCTACTGGCTTTTTCTTTTTTAATGCTCGTCATGTTTTCTTCATAAAGCCGAGATCATACAGTCTTGTTATTCATTTATTAACCTGTTTACCTGATGTCAAAACAAAGGCAGTCTGAGAATACTAAACATTTGAATCCGTTGTGTTCTGAAACAGACGTGCATTATTCACACTCATTTGTTTGTAATGTAAAAATGAAAACTTAATGTGTCATCAGCTTTACTGTGAAGTGACTTTCATTTAACATAATGTGTCATACAAGGCAGTAATGAGCTAAAATAATGTCTCATAGGAACGTTGATACACAAACCCGGTGAAGATCTAGTAGTAAGCACATTGAGGCCTTTATCATTTGAGCTGATGCAGTCTACAGCCTGAATACTAAGTGTATGAGTGCACTGTGTCCTCCTTTTGCCACACTCACTTGGAGTGCTCAAAGCCTTGACTCCCTATTTGCTTCCATATTTAACTTTTTTTAAACGGTATTAATTATGCCTGCCCTTATACATGGTCATCCTCAGCAGAATGTTTTATTTTTATTGATTTTCATCCTTAGATTACAAAAATCAGAGCCTAAACTGAAATTAAAACAAAGCTTAGGAAATGTAATACTTCAAAACTAAAGGTAAGATTAAATACAAGAACATTTCCACAACACTATTATTTTAAGACATTATTTCTGGCCATTATTGCTTCAGTGTTTAGTTATCAATGTACTGTACTGACAAACAATACAAAGTGTTATTATTTTTTGCTTTGTTTCTTCCTTCTTTCTAATTTATTTCAATTAAGATAGAGTTTTGTTTTAAGTGTTAGGCTTAGATTTCCTACAAATGTTTCTGATCTCTTATAACCAAGCCTTTTAGTGTTCTATACACAGGGACTGCAGGTAAAAATGTCATATCTATAACTACAGAAACATCTCTGGGCATTGTTCTTGCATAAATTAATTTGTTAATCAAAAGCATACCTGAACCAGATTTATAATACCATTAAGGAAACACGCCTTAAAAAAGAAGAAGAAGAAGAAAGAAAAGACACAACAAGAAAAACCATGTTTCACTATATTTATATTATATCATTAAATTCAATGTAGTACCTGAAACTAACCACACGGGTGGACAGAAAACACTGCCCGCCCTCAACACGGTCCCAGCAAAGAGAGAAAAGAGACAGAGAAAGGCACAAAGAGTTTTGAAACTGAGAAAAGGATATAGAACATGATGATTACGGGTTTGGGGGATTTGGTGGGGAGGGGTGCATATAGACAAATACATGAGCAAAGAAAAGACCTGTTGAAATGACTTGGGACGTTACATGGTGTATAAAGAAAGCAACCTCTAAACTCAGAGATGAATGGAGACAGAGCGACACGAATGCAGACACAGAAAGGCACAAGTAGAAAAAGTAGGTATTTTCATTGACATTTTCTGCTAACTGTATATTTTTTTGATGAACGGAGGATGAGCTTGAGGAGGAGAAGACAGCATGAAAGAGAGTGAGGACACTGTATAGTACAGCCTTGAAAACAAGGCATTTTAGTAAAATCTTGTTTTTTTTTCCTTCTTTTTATCCCAAAAATAAAAAAAGGCACAAACACATTTGAATTAAAAGATGGAGTTGGAACATGTGTTACATGGAGTAAGCATACAAAATAAAAACAAATAAAATTACTTATATTATCATGACCGTCATTATTATTATTATTATTTTCATCAATATTATTGTTATTGGTATCATCAATAATTTTTCTTAGAAAGAAGACACATCTCTGCCAGTTCAGCTTTCTTATCTTAGTGTTTGTCAGAAAGAAAGAGAGAGAGAGAAAAGGATAGAGAGACATAGACCTAGTGATGCTGCTGAGTGTGTCTGAGGTAAATGTTTCCTGCCTGCTCTAGTTCATATGCCACTGTGACCCAAAGCGTTACATCCTCTTTTTTTTTTTTTTGGAGGTACAGTCAAACCAAACTCCATTCAAAAACCTGTCAGTTTGATTCCTCTGATGCTGAACTTTGCCTCATTTATTGGCAAAGTTCAGCATGCATCCACTCGATTTTACATTCAGAGTTTCAGGTAGGTGTTGTAGCCTGGCCCCTCATTAGGAAGTGCTCCAGTAAACTGCTTTACTTAGCAGCTAGGAGACAGGCTATCATAGCAGCAGCGTTATTGTTGTGTTCAAATGTGGCTAAAAAAAAGAAAATTATCCAATAAAAAGTATATACGTTTAAGAGATTTTCCAAAGCCACCAAACTCAGCTGACAAAAAAAAAAAAGAAATGATTTGCTTTGCAGCGAATTGGGGAACTGCTGGTCCACTGCTGCCTTGGTCCGTCAAATTTGTTGCGTTATTGCATGATGCACAAATACTATATTGGATCCGAACCAACCATTACAAGCACCAAATTCAACACAACAAGAACAAACCCAACAGATTAAGGCAGCTGTAGATCTAGTCATTGATTCTGGTGGCTTTGATGAGAGTGAGTTCAAGGCTGATTGTGTTTTTAAAAAAGATCTTACCATTACTGGAAAGGTTAATCACTATAAAAAATTTAAAAAAATCTGTAATTTGAAAAAAAACATTTGAACCTTTTAGTCATTTAGACCAGAAAATATGTAGGCCAAGGTTAAAAAAAACAAAACCCTAGAACCACTGTCACACGTGGGTTGAGTTTTAAATGGAGCAAGCTTTGACGTCATCTCCGTAACAGTAAGAGTGTAAAGTATTGGGTCTTACCTGCCACAGTACATGTGTGTGTAGAGTGTGTTTGGCCTCTGGCTGGCCTGTGCTGTCTCGGCAGGACCGCTGTGAGGTATTGGGACTGCTGGCTTCACAGGGCTTGAGCTGCTATGAGGCGTACCGGCAAAACAAAGCTTATTGGACTAAAAAAAAAAAAAAAACAACAAAAGAAATGTACCGCTAAGTAGTGGTGTTAAGCTGCTCGCACCCGTCTCTTCATCTGCTTACTCTTCTCTCCCTCTCTCCCGTATAGTGTTAGTACGTTTTTACCTCCTCCTCTTCCTCCTCTTCTCCTCCACCTCGCTAACAACATAAAAATACTGGTTATGAATGGCTATGATGTACGCCGCCTCATCCAAACTCACGTTCGCTCACACACACACACACACACTCACATACACACACACTCAAACACTCTGGCATTAACACACACACATACACACTCCTCCTCCTCCTCCTCCTCTTCATCCTCCTGTCCTTCCCTTCATCAGAAGAAGGAGTACTGGTTGTCGATGGCTCGGGGCGCCCTTGCTCCGTCCCTCTCCTCTCCCTCCACAGCTTCTAGTTGGCGGAGAGGAGTGTCCCTGTCCCTTTCCTCCCAGTCCTCCACTCCTCCTCCACTACCACCTCCGCTGCCTCCACTTCCACCTGCTGCTGCTCCTCCTCCTCCTGTTGTTGTCACCACAGGTGCCCCTCCTCCTCCTCCTCCTCCCCTCCTCCCCCTCCTCCTCCTCCAGCAGCAGCAGCACCGCCAACCGCCACCTCTGTCTCATTTCCTCTCTCTTGGGGAGGAGTCGGAGGAGGCGGCCGGCCTGGCGGCAGGGGGGGAGGCTGAGGAGGGCTACGGGGTCTGCTGGTCAAGTCTGCATGAAGAAGACATAGACGAGAGGAAGAGAAAAGAAAGAAAAAAGATAGGGAAGAAACGAGAGAAAAGTGTAAATAAAGGAAGGCAGAGGAAGAGGAGGAGGAGAATATAAGGCAAAAAGCATAAGGAGTGAAGTGACAGCATAGTCGGAGGAGAGGAGGGTGAGAGGCGGGAGATAAAAAGAGAAAACGACAGTGAGTTGCAGGTTAGGTGAGAGGAGTCAGTGGTCATGGAGTCCATGGGAGTCATGGAGGCAGTCCAGCTCCAGGAACACACACAAACACCCACAGCCACACACACCAAGCACCCACATTTTCCAACACGGTTTGCCTACTAAATGTCTCAACTTTAATCGGTAGTACAAATATGAACAAACAATCATGGATTCATGGGCTGTCATGAGTTTGAATTAATGGTTTCATCTCTAAATAGCTCCATCCACACAGAGTGATGGATCTTTACTACTCTAAGATTGGCGACGCCTCATTCACTTAACCTGAGAGTCTCTTCCAGAAGAAAATGTATCTCAACATGTCAGATATGAATAAGCACATAAAAAATTAACAAACACTCAGACGCTCTCTCCCAAACACTCTCTCTCTCTCTCTCTCCCTCTCAGCCGAGTCCGGTCTCACTTACACACAGTCAGAGATGGGGGTTGATGGAGAGTCAGGATGGCGCGTGGTGATGACATCACAGACTGTAGGCCGACTGCCTGCCCTGTCCCGGCCTGCAAGGGGTGAGCCAACGGATACAACAGACAACAACAGATATGTCAGAGAAGCGACTGCGTAGATGGTTAAAGCCAGGGGTGGAAAGAGTACACGAATATTGTACTCAAGTAAAAAGCTACTTTGATTTTTACTTGAGTAGAATATGAACGACAAGAGGAGAAGAATCTCCAACCATCGTATATTTAAAGGAACGTTTTCATAGTCAGGTGCATTTTCTTTTGGGTTCATCCTCAACATTATCAGGACTCCATGTTTTGGTATGACTCGCCAATCTTATGATTTGAGTCTCAGCAGGTGACTTCTTCTTCTTCTACATGAACTATCTGTGCTCCTCATCGTCATGTGGTACATGTCAAACCAATAAGCCGCCCAGTTTCAAGTAGTCGAGGGACGGTTTGGATCTCCTTTTTTTTTTTTTTATTATTTTAGTCAGTATTGGGTCCTATTTAAAATGTAACAAAGTACAATCCTTTGCCCAAAATATAATGAAGTTAAAGTAAAGACATTGACTAGTACAAGAACACAAAAGAGCTACTCAGTTACAGTGTGAATATAGTTTGTTACTTTCCACCCCTGGTGAGAGCTGCCAGGTGAGTGGATTCTTCACTGAGATACTAGTGGAAAGGTCATTTAAACGTTAGGGATGTACAGTGTGATACTCGTGCATGTAGTGAAGAGATGCGATGAGAGACGAGGTAGAAGAGTTAAAGAATGACGTGGCTGTGCTTGGCATATCATGCAGAATGTTTGTAAAAACAGCTGGCCCGCATGCAGTATCGTACACATACGCCATGACATAAAACAATATTTTAGAATTTCATTGGATTGTGTACCTATTACTATCACATACTTTTAGAAAATGAAGCGAGAGCTTTTTTCATTTTTTCATTTACGTTCAACTTTTTGGTATAATGCAATTTGAACATAAAAAAGAGGATATGCTAACACACTTACACAACACGATATCTAAATCACAAAGTTCGGACCAAAAGTTTTCTTGAGCTGATGGTCTTTTTAAAACTATCAGCTGAAGTGTCTTCTGGTCAAAGTCAATAAATAAGTGTGCGAGTATATCTTCCTTTTCTAGGTGCTGTTTGAATTGCCCTGCATCTACATGATATGGATACAATTTAGTCTAAATAAGATCATGTGTGAAACATTTTAAAAGATTTTCCTTTTTTTTTTTTTTACAACAAACAGTTTGGGATTTGAGTAAAGCTATGTGCTATCTGAATTCAGTTTTGGGCCTTACAGAACTAAACATCCTTAGCAGACCCATGAAAACATTTTTGAAACAGGCTTATTTAAGGATCCTTTATGATTATTGTTTCCATTTTTTTAATCGATTCTGTGTATTTTCATCTTTAAATTCAGGGTCATCATACCTGGCTGGCGAACAGCGGTGGCACCCACAAAGCTGATGAGTGTGACGTCTGAGGCGCCGCCGGACTCCAGAGGGATCGGGTGCACCCTGAAGTGCTCCAACATATCGAAGATGGACTGGAACCAGAGGTGCTGCACCCTGCACTGACCGTCCTCGTTCAGGGACAAACGGAGGTGCTGCAAGAATGAAAGCAAAGTCCAGGGGGGGTCACGGTTAAAAGTCACTAGACAGAATACAGAATAAGAATGGCCATATCTGGTTGTAAAGGCTGCAACGTAATCCTTAGGGGCGAATGTGTGCGATCAGAGTATTTCTAGGAAGAGTGTTGATTCTTTCTGTTAATGACAGACATGATGGGAAGAATCCCTACAAATGTAGAGCTTTTTGTGAAACCGCTGTTTCAGCACCCGTTTCAAAGACAACAAACACAACTTAATCTTCCAGATCACAACAGTTGATCATCTATCCCTGTCTCAAATATTTTGTTTGTGTTATTGTTTTTAACTGATATTTTGGTTAAACCACAATATTTGTGTAACACACAGAACCACAAACTGCCTTACCAATGGAGGCTCAGAAGGTGAAAATACTTTAGTTTTCTGTTAGGCAAAAGGACGGCCCTTGTCAATTACTAGGTCCCTGTTTTGTTTGTTCTAGTGCACAAGAGCACTTGTGATAAGGAAACAGACCTGCCAGTTATTTACAGTAATGCATTGTTCTACAGTTTGCAGTGATGGTGCTCATTAAATGTAATACAAGGATCAGTTGTAGTTACTAAAAACTAGAACAAAAGCATTGAATGCTCTGTCCTCCAAATGAAATTAATCAGCCTCTCTCAAATCTGTGCAGAGCTGAGCTTTCAAAACTCACCTTAGCCTTGCCCTGGAAGTTAAAGGTGAGGACATATTCTCCACGCCGTGTCTCACTCTGTCGAACCAGGAAAACACCGTGGCTCGCCGGGCCTCCAGCCAAGACCAGCTGAGCAGCTTTGAGACGAGAAAGGGTGCCGTGGAACCATTGACACTCACTGAGCGGGTGCTCCACCACCTCTGAAGCAGTCGTGTCCGAGAACAGGAAGGAACCTAGAGGGATGAATGGTATGAAACGTATTTGCTTAGCGTTTTGACACTTTTACGTTAAGCACTTTCAAAGCAAGCGAGCCAAATGAAAGAAGACCAATGTTTGGACTGAATTAAGAAAGCAGCGATTATAGACAAACTGAAACCACTCGGTCTAAACTCCACAAATGTCTTACAAAATACACATACAAAGTCTCCAGCTGACACATGACTGAAGTGTTCTTCCAATTGAAGTAATACTTCAGGGGATTGCATTTTGAAGGCCAGTGTTTCTTGGTGAACAAAGTGCACTAAATGATGCGATTTGTGTTCAACTGTGAATTGTGCTTAGAGTTTAGCAGTTTGAAAATATCTTATTCATACAAAGAAATGACCGATAAAATTATGTAAATAGATTTTTTATATACTGAAGGAGCAATATGTAACTCTGACACCCAGTGTTTAAAATGGGTACTGCAGTCCAATTTCAAAACATTGAAAAGGGCCGTCTCCCGGGGCCCCCCTCCTCTCTAGAGCAGATGTGTTGAAAAGAATGTACCGCCCCCTTCTTGAGCGTGACAACGGAAAAACCCAGTGTAGCTGAGCCTTCGCTATTCGTACTGTTAACCGCAACATGCTTCGGTTCAATAATAATCTTTTTCTGTTTTAAAATCAGAATATGTCTTTGGATGATGCTCACCTGTGGCATCTGGTGTCTCAGCAAAAGGTGTGCCCAGACTCGCCCCACCTCCCCCAAGAATCCTGCTGTCTGGTTCATCGAGAGGGGCTCGAGGTGGCAGCTCCGGTGGGAGAGGATCCATCAGAGGGGAGGAGCCCCCGATACCTCCATAACACACTAAGACCGCAAAACAGGACCAAAGAGAGATTACACTTAATTATGCATGCCAGGCTAAATGTGAAACCAGTGGTATTCCAACACTTGCGCCTGTTTTTAAACCTAGCAGCCCCATTATATCGGAGCAACCTTTAAGTCATTCAGTATGAAAGACGTACCTTGCGACAATCGGTCAACAATCTCAGGTGTCCCACTGATGTCCAGCGGCCCACACACACCTTCAGCGTCTTCCTGTTCACTGTGAGAAAGAGACAGTTGCTCCTCAAGCAGCCACAATTACAGCTGCTTCATGCTGATCCAAATGTTCTATCCTTCCAAAACACATTTTAATACATTCATTTATTACCTGAGACAAATTCCATTCCTTATGTCACTCAGCCAAGCTCTCATCTGTACAGCATCACGAGTTTCAATGACATACTGTGCCAGTCCTTCCAGCTGAAAAATGTATAAAAGCAGATAGAAGTGGAAATAAAAAGGTACAAACTTTACAGATGTGGCTCTTCATTCATTCTTATCATTGAAATCACTGCATACAAATCTTTTTCCTTTTAACGACAGTTCCTAGTATATTTCAGGTCAGCTGGTCAGACTCTCACAGATACGTGGTGCCTTTGAAGTCCAAATAGTAGAGTTTGAAAAGCTGCCAGAGTGGATTTCCCTTGAGAGACTTTTTTTTTTTTAGTTAAGAAGAGGCAGACAGGGGGACTCCAGTGAAGGAGTGATTACCTGCAGCAGAAAGGTGTTCTCCTTGTCAGGGACCTCAAGTGCTGTGGTGCTCCTCACATCCACGATTGAGCAGCAGGGGACAGTCAGCCGTGGCTTTGACGACTGCAGGGACAAACCATGTACTATAGATTATTGGTGCTTCTTCACTATGCCTAACCACTTAGCTAACAGTAAAAACACTAAAGTTTCCTCTTTAACAGACCTGTCAAATTTTAGGACTGTCGACACGTTTTAATATTTCACAGAAGGGAACCCTTACTTTAGGTGGAATGAAGAATTCCAAGTAGTACTCCTCCCCTCGCTCACCACCTTCTCTGTCCCGCTCTCTTAGGACCAGGCGACATTTATGCCAGCGACCTCCTCTCCAGGGCACATTCCCTCCACTGGCCAGAGGCTGCACCGGTACTGCCTGAGCTGATGCAGTTGAAGCTGACGCAGCATTGTTGTTGTCCGTACTGTGGTGCAGCAGACCAAACGAGAAGCCAGAGAAGCCGTGGCTTGCACTCAACTCGTCGCTGGATGAACTCACACTCACCCCGCCCTCACGAACTAGCCGGCCCACCTTCCTTGGAGGCCCAATGGCAGCAGCGGCAGCACTGCTTGGAGGCAGCGTGGAGGCGGTGGTTTGGTTAAGGATAGGAGGTGGGGATCGTGACAGTCTGAGTTTCTCAAGACGATGGCTCCACTTCTCCTTTTCGCCTCCTTCGCCATTGCTCCGCCTCCGGTCCCGAGCAGCTTCCGTCAGAGACAGAGAGGTGGCGCTGCTTGAAGACGAGGGGGGCAGCGAGGAGGAGGAGGAGTGGGGAAGGGCAAGGGGCATGGACAGAGACACAGGCATAGAGGAGGTGGGTGTTGGAGGCTGTGTACCAGAGTTCCTCTTTGAGGCAGAAACCAAGGTAGCATCCTGCACACCCATAGTGTAGCTGTAGCTGGAGGGCAGCTGGCTCTGGGCAGAGTCACTGGAGGAGCTTCGCCAGTGCAGAATACCACGGACACTCCCCCGCACACTACGACCCACACTCCGCAAGGAAAAGCGCTTCTTAAGTTTGTTTTTGGAGTTGGGTGTACTGTTACCTTTGGAGCCAGGCGGGGGAGTAACCGAGGAAGAGGGAATCTGAGGAGTGTGGGAGGGGTCTGCACCATCCACCTCTGTGGTCTCGGCGTCCTGCTCCTCTGGCTCAACATCCTCCCCCACAGACGCTACCCCTAACCAGCTGTCCTCCTCTTCCTCAACCGGTGCTTCTCCATTCCCAGGGACGACCATGGCCCCACGCTCTTCACGCCTTCCGTTGTTTCCTCCTAATGAGGAGCAGCATGACGATGATGACGATGGAGGAAGGACTTGGCCGTGAGCGTAAGAATCCTGAAACCTGTCCCCGATTCGGTTCTCCAACACCAGTCGTGTCGGTGCAGCCTTGGACGAGGCCCGTGTCATGTTGGCTGGGGGACATGGGAGGACACCTCCCCCAGATGCTGACAAGGGGGAGACCGCCTCCTCTTCCAGGGAAGTAGCATCTGACTGGGGAGCCCAGCTCACCATATCGTCCCTCCCAGAGGTACAGCTCGGTGGAAGGGCCCCCTCAAGTTCACTCTGAAAGTGACGGACGAAACGGTCAGTGAAGCGCCGGCAGAAGGCGGCTGCCGAGTCTGGGGAGTAGTGAGGGTTTTCCAGGAGAAAGGCCCGAAAGTGGCGTGCAAAGTCACCAGCTGCGACGCGGGCGTGGAGCTCACAGAATTCGGTCCAGCTCAGGCAAGGAGAGGGGGATGGTGTTGGGGTTTCTGACAGGGAGGATTGGTGAGCCTGGGGTGGAGGGCTCACGAGAGGTGGCAAAGGGGGCGGCCGTGGGGACAGGGGCAGCAGAGAGGGAGAAGGAGGAGATGGAGATGGGGAGGGGGAAGGAGGTAAAGGAGAGGAGTTAGCCGCCCCTGGGCTTGGCGGGGTTAAAAGAGAGCCGTTCATGCTTCTGAAAGGCGGGGGACACGGCTTGACTCGATGGTCTATCAAATCACTTCAAACATACAACAGAAAGCTGAAGTGATTGCACAGCTGACTGGGGGCAAACACGGCACATTGGTCTAATAGTTGACAAATGATTGTGAGTTTAAGTGTTGTGCTCAGCCCCATCTAAAATGATGAGCATATATGTACCAGACCCATGCAAGATGGGGTTAAAAGAGGTCAAATATCTCTAAGGCTAAGCCTTTTGCTACATTATTTTGTTAGATTATATGTTTTTAACAAAAAAATATTGGATTCAAACAGACAGTAAATCCAAGGATAGGGGAGGTTAGATGTGTGAGATTCACAAGGTCTGCCCCTTCTTCGCCATCTGTCATACATGCAGAGAAGTTAAGCCACATCCTGTAAAAACACAAAAACAAACTAAGTTAAACTGTAGTTCAATAATACAGCAAAGACCCCCAACACGTTTTTAGACTACTAGTTCAACTAGGAGGGATGTGATTCAAAGTAATATGATGGATTAGTAAAACTAATAATAAGTTTCCAAAATTGGAAAGTCATTTCAAAAGGAAAATAGCTCCATAAGCAAAGGCTCTGCCCACCAAAAAAACCTCAATTAAACCTAGGAGCAATTAAAAGACATGCAACATGGATGGGGAATAAAAGGATGGGATGGAGAAGTAGATTTTGCAGAGTGCGTGTGATGGGCATTAAATATTTAAATTGTAATTCCGACCAAGGATGTTGGTAACCAACTTCTTAAGCCTTAAGCTGCCTTAATATATGGATCTTGTATAAGCATGAACAAAGACTTAAACATCGTAATAGATAGTAAAACAAGATACATTTTGGCTATTTGATATTAAATAGCAAACTTTGATTACATTCTTGTTAGTGGCTAAAAGTTAGAACTTATTACATTGTGATTATAACATTATTACTTCTGCAGAATTTTCGTACTTCAAAAGAAGGAATTTAACTTGTGGTTGAATAATTTTGTATTTCATGCATTATTATATGAACTTCAGTAAAGGATTTGAGTGGGAGGATTAAATACTTCCACTGTATACATCATAAAAGACATTTCATGAGTGATGGTCTACATGAAGCATAATGAGTGAGTGATGGTCTACATGAAGCATAATGAGTGAGTGATGGTCTACATGAAGCATAATGAGTGAGTGATGGTCTACATGAAGCATAATGAGTGAGTGATGGTCTACATGAAGCATAATGAGTGAGTGATGGTCTACATGAAGCATGATGAGTGAGTGATGGTCTACATGAAGCATGATGAGTGAGTGATGGTCTACATGAAGCATGATGAATGAGTGAGAGATGGTCTACATGAAGCATAATTAATGAGTGATGGTCTACATGAAGCATGATGAATGAGTGAGAGATGGTCTACATGAAGCATAATTAATGAGTGATGGTCTACATGAAGCATAATGAGTGAGTGATGGTCTACATGAAGCATAATGAGTGAGTGATGGTCTACATGAAGCATAATGAGTGAGTGATGGTCTACATGAAGCATAATGAGTGAGTGATGGTCTACATGAAGCATGATAATGAGTGAGTGATGGTCTACATGAAGCATGATGAATGAGTGATGGTCTACATGAAGCATAATGAGTGAGTGATGGTCTACATGAAGCATAATGAATGAGTGATGGTCTACATGAAGCATAATAATGAGTGATGGTCTACATGAAGCATAATGATGAGTGATGGTCTACATGAAGCATAATGATGAGTGATGGTCTACATGAAGCATAATGAATGAGTGATGGTCTACATGAAGCATAATAAGTGAGTGATGGTCTACATGAAGCATAATGAGTGAGTGATGGTCTACATGAAGCATAATGAGTGAGTGATGGTCTACATGAAGCATAATGAGTGAGTGATGGTCTACATGAAGCATAATGAGTGAGTGATGGTCTACATGAAGCATAATGAGTGAGTGATGGTCTACATGAAGCATAATGAGTGAGTGATGGTCTACATGAAGCATAATGAATAAGTGATGGTCTACATGAAGCATAATGAATAAGTGATGGTCTACATGAAGCATAATGAGTGAGTGATGGTCTACATGAAGCATAATGAGTGAGTGATGGTCTACATGAAGCATAATGAGTGAGTGATGGTCTACATGAAGCATAATGAGTGAGTGATGGTCTACATGAAGCATAATGAGTGAGTGATGGTCTACATGAAGCATAATGAGTGAGTGATGGTCTACATGAAGCATGATGATAAGTGATGGTCTACATGAAGCATAATGAGTGAGTGATGGTCTACATGAAGCATAATGAGTGAGTGATGGTCTACATGAAGCATAATGAGTGAGTGATGGTCTACATGAAGCATAATGAGTGAGTGATGGTCTACATGAAGCATAATGAGTGAGTGATGGTCTACATGAAGCATAATGAATGAGTGATGGTCTACATGAAGCATAATGAGTGAGTGATGGTCTACATGAAGCATGATGAGTGAGTGATGGTCTACATGAAGCATAATGAGTGAGTGATGGTCTACATGAAGCATAATGAGTGAGTGATGGTCTACATGAAGCATAATGAGTGAGTGATGGTCTACATGAAGCATAATGAGTGAGTGATGGTCTACATGAAGCATAATGAGTGAGTGATGGTCTACATGAAGCATAATGAGTGAGTGATGGTCTACATGAAGCATAATGAGTGAGTGATGGTCTACATGAAGCATGATGAATAAGTGATGGTCTACATGAAGCATAATGAGTGAGTGATGGTCTACATGAAGCATGATGAATAAGTGATGGTCTACATGAAGCATAATGAGTGAGTGATGGTCTACATGAAGCATAATGAGTGAGTGATGGTCTACATGAAGCATAATGAGTGAGTGATGGTCTACATGAAGCATAATGAGTGAGTGATGGTCTACATGAAGCATAATGAGTGAGTGATGGTCTACATGAAGCATAATGAGTGAGTGATGGTCTACATGAAGCATAATGAAGTGAGTGATGGTCTACATGAAGCATAATGAGTGAGTGATGGTCTACATGAAGCATGATGAGTGAGTGATGGTCTACATGAAGCATAATGAGTGAGTGATGGTCTACATGAAGCATAATGAGTGAGTGATGGTCTACATGAAGCATAATGAGTGAGTGATGGTCTACATGAAGCATAATGAGTGAGTGATGGTCTACATGAAGCATAATGAGTGAGTGATGGTCTACATGAAGCATAATGAGTGAGTGATGGTCTACATGAAGCATAATGAGTGAGTGATGGTCTACATGAAGCATGATGAATGAGTGATGGTCTACATGAAGCATAATGAGTGAGTGATGGTCTACATGAAGCATAATGAGTGAGTGATGGTCTACATGAAGCATAATGAGTGAGTGATGGTCTACATGAAGCATAATGAGTGAGTGATGGTCTACATGAAGCATAATGAGTGAGTGATGGTCTACATGAAGCATAATGAATAAGTGATGGTCTACATGAAGCATAATGAATGAGTGATGGTCTACATGAAGCATAATGAGTGAGTGATGGTCTACATGAAGCATAATGAGTGAGTGATGGTCTACATGAAGCATAATGAGTGAGTGATGGTCTACATGAAGCATAATGAGTGAGTGATGGTCTACATGAAGCATAATGAGTGAGTGATGGTCTACATGAAGCATAATGAGTGAGTGATGGTCTACATGAAGCATAATGAGTGAGTGATGGTCTACATGAAGCATAATGAGTGAGTGATGGTCTACATGAAGCATAATGAGTGAGTGATGGTCTACATGAAGCATGATGAGTGAGTGATGGTCTACATGAAGCATGATGAGTGAGTGATGGTCTACATGAAGCATAATGAGTGAGTGATGGTCTACATGAAGCATAATGAATAAGTGATGGTCTACATGAAGCATAATGAGTGAGTGATGGTCTACATGAAGCATAATGAATAAGTGATGGTCTACATGAAGCATAATGAGTGAGTGATGGTCTACATGAAGCATGATGAATAAGTGATGGTCTACATGAAGCATGATGAGTGAGTGATGGTCTACATGAAGCATGATGAGTGAGTGATGGTCTACATGAAGCATAATGAGTGAGTGATTGTCTACATGAAGCATAATGAGTGAGTGATGGTCTACATGAAGCATAATGAGTGAGTGATGGTCTACATGAAGCATAATGAGTGAGTGATGGTCTACATGAAGCATGATGAGTGAGTGATGGTCTACATGAAGCATAATGAGTGAGTGATGGTCTACATGAAGCATAATGAGTGAGTGATGGTCTACATGAAGCATAATGAGTGAGTGATGGTCTACATGAAGCATAATGAGTGAGTGATGGTCTACATGAAGCATAATGAGTGAGTGATGGTCTACATGAAGCATAATGAGTGAGTGATGGTCTACATGAAGCATAATGAGTGAGTGATGGTCTACATGAAGCATAATGAGTGAGTGATGGTCTACATGAAGCATAATGAGTGAGTGATGGTCTACATGAAGCATGATGAGTGAGTGATGGTCTACATGAAGCATGATGAGTGAGTGATGGTCTACATGAAGCATAATGAGTGAGTGATGGTCTACATGAAGCATAATGAATAAGTGATGGTCTACATGAAGCATAATGAGTGAGTGATGGTCTACATGAAGCATAATGAATAAGTGATGGTCTACATGAAGCATAATGAGTGAGTGATGGTCTACATGAAGCATGATGAATAAGTGATGGTCTACATGAAGCATGATGAGTGAGTGATGGTCTACATGAAGCATGATGAGTGAGTGATGGTCTACATGAAGCATAATGAGTGAGTGATTGTCTACATGAAGCATAATGAGTGAGTGATGGTCTACATGAAGCATAATGAGTGAGTGATGGTCTACATGAAGCATAATGAGTGAGTGATGGTCTACATGAAGCATGATGAGTGAGTGATGGTCTACATGAAGCATAATGAGTGAGTGATGGTCTACATGAAGCATAATGAGTGAGTGATGGTCTACATGAAGCATAATGAGTGAGTGATGGTCTACATGAAGCATGATGAATAAGTGATGGTCTACATGAAGCATAATGAGTGAGTGATGGTCTACATGAAGCATAATGAGTGAGTGATGGTCTACATGAAGCATAATGAGTGAGTGATGGTCTACATGAAGCATAATGAGTGAGTGATGGTCTACATGAAGCATGTGAGAAGCTGGCATACCTTGAAGTAAACTAACACCTGGTCAAAAACACATGTAACCAGGCAAATGCATGCTTGCTTCACGTATTGTGTCCAGGAGCAACGTAGAGTTAGATGACTGTTTTATAAACTCGTCTGAAACACTACCTTGTGTAAAGTCTCAGCTCACACAGCTTTCTTTAAAGACGTGTAACGTTGGCTAGCTAACAATAGCTACCTCACGTCAACTTGCTTACGGACCTGATATCAATACGTGTTTTTTTTTTTTTAATTTGGCATTGTTGGCGAGATATTCGTTTGTTTCGGATCACGGCTGTGACTTGTCGCTGAGCTCGCCACATATTGAATCACCCCATCAGCAGCTATAACGAGAAGATTTCTTTTTGCGAGCTAAGCTAACCTTTAGCCCGTCAGCTAGCTATTAATAAACCTGCTAGCTAGCTATCAATATGCTTCACCACAATGTGCTGTAAGTTCTCTACCTGTACATCACAGTCCAGTTATTTCATTCGTGTGTATCGTTGAAACTCCCACACTTTTTCATCGTTATTTGAAGCTTCATAACGGGGAGAAGAAAAAAAAAATGATTCTCGTAAAGGTTGTTGTTGTTGCTAAATATGAATATTGCTATTGCCTTGCCTGGACCCGTTCTTCTCGCTCGCTGCTCCTCGTTCTCGCGATAGTTGGTTGCTCCAGCGTTTGAGCTTGACGGCTGCCGTTGGAAAAAAAAAAAAAAAGCCTCTGGATTTTGGTCGACTCATTTACTCGCATCCGAGAAATGACGCGATAAACAGGGTTGAGGGTGGGAAGTGCAGAGCTACAGCTTCCTTTCTGACTTCCTCCCACTCCTTCATACAAACAAACTCACTAACTCACGCCCTGTTCATCACTTAAGGGGTCCAACATAACTGACAAGACTCCTTTATAGGTTACTGTACGCCCACCGTCATCCATCCATCGATCTGACTGTTATGTATGTAGCTGCATCATGTTGCAGTGATTAACCAATGACATAGGTAGAAATATAATAGATGCTTCATGTTGTTCTCCCATTACAATAGTCTAGATCAGGGGTTCTCAAACTTTTCAGGTCGTGACCCCCAAACAGAGGGTGACATAAACTGGGGACCCCCCCACTGTTCTTTAAGGTGGTTAGTTAGGTATATAACAGCGACAGCCACGCACCCACTAATAAACCTATGCAAAAACTAGGAACACAAAATACTACAACATCCTAAAAACAATAAAAAATTGACACATTAATTTAATTTCCATTTTACTTAATGATACTGTCTTATATGACATTGGACTACTTTTTGTATATTTACCAAAATAGGTTAAAAAAAATATACTTGTGCACTTTTAAATTATTTTTTATTTTTTATGGAAGGCATCTCGAGACCGCCCTCTTGGTGGCTGGCGACCCCCACTTTGGGATCCACTGGTTTGGATAGTCATTTGAATGTGAAGAGTAAAAGTAGCCTCGAGTCTAGTGCAACAAAGTGGCCCGTTTTAGTGATTTACTAAAGAATGATGTTTTTTTGGATCAATATTGCTGCTGCTTCTGATGTGTCTAATTTTTTTTTCTTCTAATATATTCTTTATATCGTCAATTATAAGAGAAATCTTTCATGTTTAAAATGTATGTCAAAACACAACAATTCTAGTATAATTTAATCTGTGATATATTGTTGATCAAACATTTAACAGTGTACCACATCCTCATTACAAATGCTCCATAAAATATGTTTATATAACCCTAGCTGTTAATGAGGAAAATAATGAATAAGAGATGAACTCTCTCTCTCTCTCTCCCCACCCCCTTCCCCCCAATTAAAAAATAAAAACCTAATTTATGTTGTGTTACCCTGTAATTGAATGCCTAAGGGAATTTTTTAAGGAACTATCTTGAAATTTTGTTTCGTGTCTGTGTTGTTTATTTATATATATATATATATATTTTTTTTTATAATGGTTTTTTTCTTCATTTACTTTATTAATTAATTTTTTCCTCTGTCTCCTTGCTCCTTGTCCTAGTATGCATGAGTGTGAATGAGACTCCTGGGTAGGCTACAGTGGGAACAGGTTACCTCCGGAGTGGGAATAGGATTCCTGACTCGGTGGGTGGGTATGGGGTTAACTGGGTTGGGCGGCAGAAGGCAGGAATGGGGTTTATAAAAGATGACCACAGTACAATGTCAACTCTTATGCCAACTGTATGTTTTCTTAACATCTGTGCAAACTCATAAAAAGATTTTGAAAAAAAATAAGTATGTATGTTTATATTGTTGACCATCTTCAATGAAGACTTTGTCAGTAGTACCACAGATCACTTACACATTATAGAATTATCAAAAGTGTTTATTATAGCATATATTTAGCAGTGTTCCTTAACTTTAAATCAAATAGATTATTTTGAAATTTGACCCTTGGAGACATGGGTGAAAACAATAAGGATGAAACTAAACTGCATGAAGATTCTTTTGCATTTTCACATTTATTACTAAGTCATTCATGGGTAATATGAAATATATATTTCAAATTTAAGAATTTTTACATTTTATACAATACAGTTAAACAGGATAAAAACATCTTACGGTAAGAAGCAAGGCCTATATTCTTAATGTATAGGATTAAAGGGAGGACAGTTAAAAAAAATAGTATTGTACGACAGATATGTGTGATATGTATTTTGGTTTCTTGAGTACAATAAAAATAGAGAAATGACCAAACCAACTAGAGAAGATTACAGATAAATGTCAGAAAGTCCCAGAGATCACAGAGTCCATATCAAAGGACACTTTAGTCCACCTCCTCAATGGTGGGCCCCTGGGCTGCGGATCCAGCCTCCTCCCTACAGCTGCTTGCAGGCATTCCTCCCTGATACAACCTGCTGATGATAGGGCTACACACTTTCTCCAGCTCTTTCTGCTGGTGTTGGTACTCCTCCTTATCAGCCAGCTGGTTGTTCTCAAGCCATGTGATGGTCTCATCGCACTTCTCAATCAGCTTCTTCTGCTCCTCTTCACTAATCTTCCCCTTTAGGTTCTCGTCCTGCACACTGCTCTTCACGTTGAAGGCATAGGACTCCAGTGAGTTCTTGGCAACAATTTTCTCCCTCTGAAGTTCGTCCTCAGCTTTGTATTTGTCGGCATCCTGCACCATCCTTTCGATCTCCTCTTTGCTAAGACGGCCCTTATCGTTGTTGATGGTGATCCTGTTCTCTTTGCCGGTGCTTTTGTCCACTGCGGACACATTCAAAATACCATTGGCGTCCACGTCGAAGGTGACCTCGATCTGTGGGACTCCTCTTGGAGCAGGAGGGATTCCTGTCAGCTCAAACCTGCCCAGCAGGTTGTTGTCCTTGGTCATGGCTCTTTCCCCTTCATAGACCTGGATGAGAACACCAGGCTGGTTGTCGGAGTAGGTGCTGAACACCTGGGTTTGTTTAGTGGGGATTGTGGTGTTGCGTTTTATCAGGGATGTCATGACTCCTCCAGCTGTCTCTATACCCAGGGACAGAGGCGCCACGTCCAGCAGCAGAAGGTCCTGGACATTCCTAGAGTTGTCACCAGTTAGGATGGCGGCCTGGACAGCTGCACCGTAAGCCACCGCCTCATCTGGGTTGATGCTCTTGTTCAGTTCCCTGCCATTAAAGAAGTCCTGCAGCAGTTTCTGGATTTTGGGAATTCGGGTGGAGCCTCCCACCAGGACGATGTCCTGGATCTGTGCCTTGTCCATTTTGGCGTCCCTCAGGGCTTTCTCCACCGGCTCCAATGTTCCCCTGAACAGGTCGGTGCACAGCTCCTCAAAGCGAGCTCTGGTGATGGAAGTGTAAAAGTCAATGCCCTCGAACAGAGAATCAATCTCGATGCTGGCCTGGGAGCTGGACGACAGGGTTCTCTTGGCCCTCTCACAAGCTGTGCGCAGCCTCCTCAAGGCTCTCTTGTTCTGGCTAATATCCTTCTTGTGTTTCCTCTTGAACTCCTCCACAAAGTGGTTAACCATGCGGTTGTCAAAGTCCTCTCCACCCAGGTGAGTGTCTCCAGCTGTGGATTTTACCTCAAAGATACCATCTTCAATGGTCATGATGGACACATCAAAGGTTCCTCCACCTAGGTCAAAGATCAGGACGTTATGTTCTCCTGATTTGCCTTTGTCCAAACCGTACGCGATGGCAGCTGCTGTGGGCTCGTTGATGATCCTCAGGACATTCAGTCCTGCGATGACGCCTGCGTCTTTAGTCGCCTGCCGCTGAGAGTCGTTGAAGTACGCCGGGACTGTGATGACTGCGCTGGACACCTTTTGACCGAGATAGGCCTCAGCAATCTCCTTCATCTTCACCAGGACCATGGAGGAAACCTCCTCAGGATAGAAGGATTTGTTCTCACCTTTGTACTCCACTTGAATTTTGGGCCTCCCTCCATCTCCGACCACATTGAAGGGCCAGTGCTTCATGTCAGCCTGCACCACTGGATCATCCATCTTTCTTCCAATCAGTCTCTTGGCATCAAACACAGTGTTGCTGGGGTTCAGAGCCACCTGGTTCTTGGCTGCATCCCCAATGAGCCTCTCTGTGTCAGTGAATGCTACATAACTGGGGGTGGTCCTGTTACCCTGGTCGTTGGCGATGATTTCTACTTTTCCATGTTGGAAAACTCCGACACAGGAAAAGGTGGTGCCCAGGTCGATACCAATTGCTACACCTCCAGATGAAGACATTTTTACTGCTGATGGTCACCTGGGAAAGGGTTAAACAACATTACTGCACCAACTGTAGACTATTTATGACATCTACCATTATTAGTTCATGTAAAACAGTTCAGGTTTGGTCAATTTGGTCAAAATATACACACAAAAACTGAGGATGTACTCATTGGCTTAACAAAGAATTGACTTCACTTATATTTAATCAGATCACAATTCTAACATGTTTTTACCAAACATCAAATCATCAAAGTTTCAGAGTAAACTATAGTTTCTGGATCATGATTGAATGTAGTAGGCTACTTACAATTAGAAGCTGAATGGTCTGTGTTGTAAAGCGAAGTAATCTTCTTCTCCGTCCTGTATGTTGCTCACGCTGTAGTCTGGTCTGTTTCTGTAACTGTGATTGCTGTACGACCCGCCGCTTTATATCTGTGGCAGCACTCAGTCTGGCTGCTTCGAGACGTTTCACGCACACCTGCATCAAGTCAGCGTCTGTCATGGGAACTGTTTCCTGTTTAGAATTTCGACATACAATACAAGTTTAATGTTGCTGGCAGTCGTAGGTAGGAAATGTTTTGAACTCGTTTTATTTTGAAAGTAAAATCCGACACTAATTGATTACCTACTTGACGCAGCTTTAAGAATACTCTCGAATCTACCCGAAGAAGTGGAGCAAAACCTAGAAAGAACCAGTCAGGAAAGTGTGACTAAAGTGTAGTTTGAAATGGACACGGTCATCTCTGGGACTTTCTGACATTTATCTGCAATCTTCTCTCTTTTGTTCAAGATGTTTACAATTATTGGTTCATTTTTTAATTAGATATTCAAGGTACCAAAGTGCCCCGTCATAACTCTAGTTTCAAAAGTCAATGTTTATTACATCTTTTAAGGGGCTTTGTCATAGTCATAACAATGTTGATTAATGGAAATTAAGATGTTTTGAGAACTGGCTTTCTGGACTTTCAAAATATGGTTGCATTGCAGGACTGTGCTATATAAAAAAAAAAGATTTGTAAATAAAGCTTCATGCTTTTTATAGTTTGATCTTACCTTAAATAATTGATATCAGTTGAGTTGGTTATGTTGGAAAAACGGAGTAATAGGAACACATCTCTAAATCTATTCAAACACTACAAATTGAAAGTTAGCCACTAACAATGTTTATTTGGCCTATGTCCTAAATCGAAATGAGGTGTTTTGAAAAGAGATTGCATGTCATTTATACAAGAGGTTAACGTATTGAGACAATAGGTTAATCATGAACAGATATAGTGCACATTCACGTGTCTACATTGTAATCTTATTTTTACAGTCTAAAAAGAATTGTAGTACACCGATAAACCACTGGATGTCACAGTCACACTTGTGCCAAAGGGATACCGCCTCACTGCTTGAGAGTCCACTGTATTTTTACTTTCAGACATTGAAAGCTGGTTACCTGGTGATAAAAAAATAGTTGATATTAGTCTAGGTTTTATTAGGCCTACTTAATTTACGGATAGGCCTAATAATCATAACTGGAGTCAAATAATCGGAACCGACAGCAGATAGTTCCTAAACTAAAGCTGGTTTAGCAACAATATAACAGTTTGCCGTTTCTTATCTGTTGCATTGATCCTACATCAATGTAGGCTAAGTCATTTGATATGAGAGACAGATCAGTCTATAACCCCTGTTGTTTTTTCATTTTTCAATTAAATAACATCGACTGACTTTACATTCCTGACGTTTCCACAAAAATGTGGTTTGTGTAGCCTATTGTTTTAGTTATGTTGAACTAAAGTTGAATAACCCGACCAAAATATCCCAGTTCAAGCTTGTTGCGAGACCACGTCATTGATAAGGCATTATTCGCTGCTAAAAACAGAAATAACGTTATTTCCGCCCCTACAGCACTGAACGTCATACTTCACAGACAATAGAAAAGAAAAGAATAGAATTACTTTATTGATTCCAAACTGGGAAAATGTGGCGTTACAGCAGCAGGTTATCCAAACACACAATATGAGTAAAAAAACACAATGTTAGCAAATCTAAACACAATATAATATTAAATACAAAGTAAGTAAGTACTAAAAATATCAAAACTAAGAATGTGAATATATACAACCAGGATTTAACTAAGCATTACTAGTCTTAAATAGGAAGATTAAATATGGAAGATTAAATGTAAATGTGCACAAACAGAGTTGTAAATGGACAGTATTGACATAAGTTAAAGTGCATGAGTGTAGACATATTATAAGCAGAAACTATACAATATAATGGTGAGTAGACAGCCGAATGAAGGAAATAAATGATTATTTCCTGCTTGGCCAATTAACCAAAGCGCCATCATAATCTTTCTCTGCCATAAGAGCTTATTTTCCTTTTCCCCACCTCTTCTTTAATTTGTCTCTTTCTTGTTTTGCTTTCTTTTACACCTTACTGAGTATGTGTTCTTGTTAGCTGTATTGTTTTTGCCTGGACTACATTAATAATATGTCTCTGTATTACATGTTTCTCTTTAGGAGGGCCACTCGACAAGCCCCTCTGGGTTCATTTTGGCTCCTCCAGCACATTTCTTTCAAAATGTATAGTTTGTTAATTAACTAATCATTATGTACTGTCTGTTTTTCCATTGATCTATTATGTTTATGTTTTTTTTTGTGTGCAATAAATAAAAAAATACAAAAAATGAAGTGAACATGAGTGCAGGGATAACTTGTAATCATGTGCAGAAGAGATTACAGTATGGAGAGACAGATATTATCAATGCAAATCATTGTGATGTAGCCTACATCAACATTATGGAATTTGGACGAAGATAAAGCAGTCTCGTAAGAACAATTATTAAACAAGCCTTAGAGGCTTTGTACTAGATTATTAACATTATCTAGGTCAATTTATTTATACCGCTTTATTAGTCAAACGGAAACCTCACAGGAAATGGAACAAATCAGTATCCGGTCAACACTTGAGTCCCCGCCCCGCCAGTCTGTGCCATCTTGTATTTAGCAAGAACAAAAAAAAACGGTGTAGGAAACAAGTCCGACAACAGGATGGGGGCGAAGATATCGACCTGATTTTTAAGGGGTTTGTTTAAAAAAAAAGCTCGGCGCAGCGCGGGGGGCATTATGCTTGAAAGTGAGGCAGCGCGGAGAAACGTCAGCCACACCCCCGGAGAACAGCGACGGTAACGTTAGCTCGCAAGCTATCGAAGCTAAGCTAGCCAATTAGCTAAGGCGAGTAACACAAGAGAGGGGACAACTGGCGAGCTCAAGAGTTCCCCGTTTGAGGCCGACAAACTGTGCAATTTGGGAAAGTTTTTTTGTTTGTTTTTATTCATCTCATTGTCGCGATTGAACCAGAGGCGTGTGGGAGGGGGACTAAAGTAACAATGGTCCAAACGTCGTGTTGATATCTACTGAAGAGGAGACCCGGGCTATGAGGATAACCGCACGCTAGCTCGGCTGCTAACAGTTGTTTTTCGTTCCCGAGTGGAACCACGATAAGCCGCGGTAAGTGAAGCTACATGCTACCCAGCCGGAGTTAGCTGTTCAGTGGGATTTTAAACTTCTGGCTTCGGTTGGTCTTTGTTGCATTATACGCCTATTTAGTAAAACACAATTCTCCTAAACTCAATTCATTGTTAGCAACCACTTTACCCTCCTTTTTTTTTAATTCATTCAGTTAGCCGGAGTTGAGACATTATGGACGAATACAATGAACACAGTCAAATTCATATAACTAACAATTATAGGCAACAATATGTGACGCAGCACGTTGCATCTCTTCATCTTTTGTTCACTTCATTCGGCTGTCTACTCGCCGTTACATTGTATAGTTTCTGCTTATTATATGTCTACACCTATGCACTTTAACTTATGTTAATACTGTCCATTTATGACTCTGTTTTTGCATTTACACTTAATCTTCCATATTTATTTTACTACCATTTACAACTCTGTTTTTGCACATTTACATTGAATCTTCCATATTTAATTTACAACTCTGTTTTTGCACATTTACATTGAATCTTCCATATTTAATTTACAACTCTGTTTTTGCACATTTACATTTAATCTTCCATATTTAATTTACAACTCTATTTTTGCACATTTACATTTAATCTTCCATATTTAATTTACAACTCTGTTTTTGCACATTTACATTTAATCTTCCATATTTAATCTTCCTATTTCAGACTAGTAATGCTTAGTTAAATCCTGGTTGTATATATTCACATTCTTAATTTTGATATTTTTACTACTTATTTACTTTGTATTTAATATTATATTGTGTTTAGATTTGGTAACATTGTGGTTTTTTTTTTTACTCATATTGTGTGTTGGATAACCTGCTGCTGTAACGCCACAATTTCCCAGTTTGGGATCAATAAAGTAATTCTATTCTATATCTTTCAGAAAACATAAGCACCTTTTAAAATAGGTAACTGTTATGCGGTTACAGGTCATATTGCCAGGCGAATAACACTCAATTCTGTCTACAACAGAATTGAGTGGAGGCTTAGTATGGTGTTGCAATGTTCAGACACATCTAAGTTTAAAGAACTTGAGGTTGATGTAATGCTTATGTAAACTCTAAATCAACGCCTCGCATCTCGATTATCCATGTTTCCTCTTTATACAACTCTGGAGGGATTCAGCTGGTTATTGAAATAATGTCTGCAATATGACATCTATCTGATCACAGAAACGTATGATACTGTAACCTTGTTTGCTCCTATAATCTTGGCTCACTCACAATTGGCTGCATTAAAGTTACAGTTCACATTTATTTATGAATACATAATTGGCTGTATTTGGGTATCTATTATTGCCTCTATGATGTTTTCTCAAGTTTTGTTTCCTGTCATCCAACACCTTTTCTTTAAAAAGACAAACTTCAGTTGAATTATCGGGGATGTTGGTTTTCTGTTTGGAGCTTATTCATGCTTTTGTGCAGCATCCAAAAAGAGAAGGCTCTGTTGCGCAAAAGTGTTTCCAATTCAGGTTTAGGTTCAGCCATGTGATCTCGGTTATTTGGCACCTCTGATGCACCAAATTGCAAGTCACACATTCCCTTTAAAAAAAAAAAAAACTGTGTTACTGTGTTTCCCCTTTCCTTCTTTGCCTTTTTATAGCTTATTCAGCCTTCAAATGTATCTTCAGTGAAGTTGAGTTTGTTATTCCACCTAGGAGTTGTGGAAACCCATCCAAGTGTTGTGATAGACTTTTGAGAATCACTTTCTGTTCCTCTGAAAAGTTGCCAGCGTCATTCCCCTGTTACACCTCATGTGTAACGCACGTATGCAGAATGATGGGACAGATTCATTATGCCCCTGACCCGCCATTGGAGGTAGTAACAAAGGCTTAAATGATGGATGATTTTTGTGGCTTTGCTGACATGAAGCCGAGTTATCAGAAAATGCTATACAACCTAAAGTCCATTTCAT